TCAGAAGTTATATGTGTGTGTGTGTGTGTGTGTTGAAAAGACTGATATCTCAGTCATGATTAACTGATCTTCTTCACCTCCACTGAGATACAATTTGTATGGACGACATTTATGATATATGATACTCTTATAGAATCTCTGTGTCATTTATGGAGCTGAAAGACATGATGGACACTGCAAATTATTGTTGTATGGAAAAAAAAAACAATGAATGCAGGTGAGTGAATAATGACAGAATTTAAATTTTAAAAACATATATATTCAGTGCCTTGCGAAAGTATTCATGATTTTTTTTTTTTGTTATGTTGCTGCATTACGTTAAACGTCATTAAAATATTTTTTTCACATCTATCTACACTCCATAGACCATAATGGCAAAGCAAAAAACTGATTTGTGACAACTTTGAAAAAAAACTAAAATAAGTACATCGCATAAGTATTCAACTTAAACTCGGTACTTAGTTGAAGCCCCTTTACAGCCTCCAGTCTTTTTGGATATGATGCGACAAGCTTTGCACATCTGCATTTGCCAATTATCTGACATTCTTCTCCTCACCTCTTCACCTCTCATGCTCTGTCATGTTGGATGGGGGCCGACAGACATTTTCAAGTTTCTCCAGAAATGTTTGGGTTCAAGCCCAAGGACATTCACAGAGTTGTCTATAAGCCACTCTTGCATTGTCTAGTCCTGCTGGAAGGTGAACCTTCTGCCCAGTCCAGGTTCTGAATGTTCTGTCAAGGTTTTCATTAAGGCTATTTCTGTGTTGAGCTTTCCTTCTACTCTGACGAGTCCCCGATGCTGGAAAATACCCCCACAGCATGAGGCTGCTACCACCACACTTTACTGTTGGGATGGTACTGCGCAGGTGATGAGCAGTACCTGTTTTCCTCCATACAAGCTGCTTGGAATTGCGGTTCATCAGACCAGAGAATCTAGTTTCTCACAGTATGAGAGTCCTTTTTTTTTTTCAAATTTCAACTGGGTTTTCATGTATCTTCACTGAGAGGATTGAGTTTGGCCACACCACCATAAAGCCCAGATCGGTGGAGTGTTGCAGTGATGTTTGTCCTTCTGTAGGTTTCTCCCATCTCCATACATGATCATGGAGCTCAACTAGAGTGGCCATCAGCTTCTTGTTCACCATTCTAACCCAGGTTCTTCTCCATCGATTGCTCAGTTTGGCCAGGAAAACAACTCTAGGAAGATCTCCTGGCTGTTCCAAACTTCTTCCATTAAGGATAATGGAGGCTACATGCTTCTGTTAATCCTCAATGCAGCAGATTTTTTTTCTGAAATCTTCCCTAGATCAGTGTCTTGACACAATCCTGTCTCTGAGCTCTACAGAGAGTTCTTTAGCTGTTAGACATTTTTATTGAGAGGTGTGCGCATTTTCAAATCATACCCATTCAATTGAATTTGCCACAGGTTAACTCCATTCGAAGTGTAGCGATATCTACAAGCAATATTGGAATAAGCAACAACATAATCTGAAAAAAATACTTTCGCAAGGCACCTATATATATATATATAAACAGGTGCCAACTTTGGGGCACTATTTTGTGCCTACACTCTGAGAGAGGAAAAAAAGGTACTAAACTGTCAGGGCTGTACCTTACTAATTATGTTCACTTTAATATATATATGAAGAGTTCAGATGCAAAAGCCTCTAAATGCCGTCTGAAATATTCATCTAAAATGAACATTTTTATCAGGCTCCTATATTTATGATCAGTTATTTCACTTTAATTGCATAGAAAATGACCTATACATTGCCATTAGAGTAAAATTACTGAACCTAAACATAGGAGTCTGAGAAAAAAATGCTCATTTTAGACGAAAATGTCAGATGAGAATCATGTCTCCTAACATTGTTCTTCCCTCACCAAACAGATGCGCAGGTATGCAAGTGTCCAAAGCAAATTACTTTGGTCAAATGTTAGAATGTCATGCTGTCTTTGGCTTACAAGTCTTGAGTTTCTTACATGCACGTTCTAACGGGATTATTTCAAGAACGGATTTAGGACCATGATTCAATATGTTCCGTGATCGTTACTGGCGAAAATAGACAAAAAAATGTCAAATTAACCACAGTTTTTTTGTAATTCAGAGTTCATTTTATCCCACTCGAGGCCAAGAGGAAGAAACACTAGAAGCGTCATTACCGGTGAACAAACTAATGCCAAAATAAAAGTCCTTAGGCGCGATCCTATGGATCGTTCTAAAATGTTTGATCGTTCTGAGGTGCCTATATTTATGTTGTTATTTCACTTTAATTGCATAGAAAATGACCTATACATTGCCATTAGAGTAAAATTACTGAACCTAAACATAGGAGTCTGAGAAAAAAATGCTCATTTTAGACGAAAATGTCAGATGGTACTTAGAGGCTTTTGCATTTTGCATATTATATTATATTATGTTATATTATATTATATTATATTATGTTATGTTATGTTAT